GAACCACCCCCATTTCGGAACCTTCCTACTAGACTTGTTACAGGTGCGACTAGGAAGACGAAGGACAGTCAACCCATGGAGCGCCTAGACCAGTCCGAACCATCCTACCCTGACCAAACTGCATTATTGGCTGGCACCCACCATGGGTCCTCTCCGGTTGATAGTTGTGTTCATTGCCGCCGGAGGCATTTCCCTCATCACCCACTTTTTACGTCGGAGTGAATGGTTATGATAAGATCCATGGCTTCACAATGCAATACCGACAACCCTCAAGCTGAGTCCTCCAACCCAAACAACCCACCTCAATATTTCACAGAACTCATTAATAGCATCAACCATCTGGCCGAGCAAAACTAGGCCTTGATCAACGCTTTACACCAGTGTGATCCCCCTGTTCCTCTCCTTCCGCCACCACAAGACATTCCTCCAAACCAGGAACATACCCTAAACCACCACCCATAATAACCGCGTGTTTCTCAAGGACCTCTTGTCCCACATTTTGCCCCACAAGCTCACCTGTCGAACTTGAAGGGCTTACACCCCCCTCCTCAGGGCTCGCAACTTCATCAGGACGAACCTCAACCCTTTTATAACTGCCATCCATCACACCACACTCCTGTCAATGAAGGTGAGGCTAGTAGTGTTCAACCCTCATTTTCTTCCTGAGGAGACAATGTTCACATTTGGGATGCGAAGCTGCAAGCCGTGGAGCTCTAACTTTAGAGGGTCATACAGAACATACAGAACAAACCTTCCACAACCGCCAACTCCTCCTTTGTCGTTTCTATCAAGGATAAACCTCTTCCTTTACCATGATTTTATGTGCCATTATGTGAATGTTTGTGATTTTGAAGTCTTATCTGTTCACCGTAGGAATACCTGTCCGAATAATCTGTTTTGGAAATTAAATTGAGGGCCTTATCGGCCCCAGAACCCGAAATTGATTACGCCATTGTGATTGGCATAATTTTTAGAGCCTACGGTGAAATTTAATTAGAAATTGATTCGGGTCAGATTAAATCGATTAAATTGGTGGATTAGTGCCCAATTGCCTTATTATTATTATATTGACTTAGTGGGACTTGATGTATTTGAGCACTACATCTCATTTCTCTCCTTTAGCTCATTTTGACTGTTTCTTGGACTCAATTTGAGAGAGAGAGCCGACTATAGAGAGGGAGAAAGAGGGATTGTGCAATTATGGTCTTGAAACTTGGAGGTTGGAAGTCTAATTCAAGATTTAATCATAGATTGTGAGAATCAAGCTCCTAGGTGAGTAATTCTTGGATTATAATTTGTAATTTTTGTGTGCTCAAACTAATTTGGTGATCAAGAGTAAGATTGAAATGAAATTGGGTTGTATTTGTTGAATTGAAGCTTAATATGTGCATGCATGTAGGAAATCACCTTGATATTGCATGTTTGAGCACAAATGTGTATAATCCATGTGAAATGTTAAAGGAAACTCATGTCTTGATCACCCTTTGTGTTATGTAAGTAAAGAATGTGGCTAATTCATCACATGCATGTACAATTTGAGAAGATATGAGCTTGAATGCATGAGTTTGTTAGGTTGATGTTGAGTTTGACACATTTTGGGACATGCATGTGGATAAATCAAGAAATTGAGCTCCATAATGTTATAATCTTGCATTGGTGCCACGCTAGTATGTGCATATTTGAGATTTGAGCCATAACATGCATGTTTTGTTGGTTGAAATTTGAATTGGAGCTTAAGAACTCAATCTGGAAAACCCAGATTTTTGATGTCCGCTCGAGCGGAGGAATAGACGCTCGAGCGGTAAAATCGTGCCCCCAACACTTTTTACAGAGTTGTAGTCCGCTCGAGCGGGATACTCCACGCTCGAGCGGGGAGCTTTTGTGGACAGGCCTTCCGCTCGAGCGCCCACTTCACGCTCGAGTGCATTTTTCATGCAACCAGTACTTTTGCAGGCCTTAAGGGTCCGCTCGAGCGGGGAAGTTGACGCTCGAGCGAGGACCCTGTTTTCTAGAATTTTGTTTTGCATTCTGTGTTTCGTTTTCCGTTCTCCTTCACTTGTAGGCACTCTTAGGCATATGTTAAGCATTGTAAATGAGTTAATGAGATGAGAATAAAGCCTAATAAGGAGTATGTGAATTAAAGAACGGATTGAACTGTTAGTGACCTTTTTGTGTTCATGAAATGTGTAGGGTCAAGTTCCAGGGCAAATCCACAGGCCGATCACTGTGAGTAATATCAATATTTGAAAGTTTGTCAATGTCCAATTGTTTATTCCCTTATAAACTTTATGAATTGTTAATTGGGATTGTGGACAAAAGTCTGACATGAAAGAAATGAATAGACCGAAGGTCGTTTTGATGTAAATGAATGGACCGAAGGTCGTTTTGATGTAAATGAATGGACCGAAGGTCGTTCTGACATGAATGGGCGGGCCGAAGGCCGTTTTGACATGAATGTATGGGCCAAAGGCCGTTTTGACGTAAATGAATGGGCCAAAGGCCGTTTTGACGTAAATGAATGGGCCAAAGGCCATTTTGACATAAATGAGTGGGCCGCAGGCCGTTTTGACAGGAATGGAAACCTGAATGGGCCAGAGGCCAGTACGTTGGAACTACAGTCACTTGATCTAAATTTCGTATAAGTGTTTATATGTTAAGTAGAAACATGAATTTGGCCCAAGGCCGTTTGGAGCATGTTATAGCGATCCCGAGTTTTCCCTTGTGATACGGTGATCCGGACATGTGTCCGTGGATGTTGGTAGTTGGTTACTATCGTGTTTACATTCCTTTTTACTTCATATTTGAGTTATAGGATGTGTTGGGCAGGTTTGTTACAGGTTGGTTGTGCTTGGAAACCAAGTGTTGCTGCCCAGAATTTTGGACCTTCGCTCGAGCGAGGAGTTGGTCGCTCGAGCGAGAGTTGAGTTTGTCTGGTGGGTCGAGCCAGAGTGGCTCGCTCGAGCGAGCGGTTGCACCTGGTTCTGGACCTGAGAGCTGTCTTTCTTGGCTCGAGCGAGAGTTCCTTCGCTCGAGCGGTCTGGGTTTTTATTCGCTCGAGCGAGTGTTTCTTGGCTCGAGCGAGAGTTTTCTGTGTCTGGTCGCTCGAGCGACGAAGGCTTCGCTCGAGCGAGAAGACCCCAGAT